ACATATGCTTAGATAGAAAATATAGGAGACGATTTCTACCATATGATGCTAAGGTATAAGAGATGGACCTTTGAAGCGTGATACCAATCGAAGTGCACCAATATACCATCCTTAGCACCATTAGTAACTAGACATACACAAAAACTAGAATACCCCATGAGATCAACATTAGAAGCAAGGGTCTAGTTTTCATAATGTGAGCATGAGTCTAGTTACTTAGCCTATGCATGCTAGTTTTCATTTTATCATTCAAACCTATAACTAGCATACACCACAAAAGCATGGATATTGAAATTTAAGACTTGTGCTATGCAAGCAAATATATGAAATGCACATCAAAATGCAACATACAAGTTTATGAGCTTGTCCCCCTACTTGTGTGCATTTTTTATTGATCTCCTTGCAATGTCATTTCATTTGTTTGCTCCTCCTATCTTACTATCTTTGTGAATTTCTCTCCCCCTTTGTCAACAATTAGCACAAAAGGTGAGCTCAAATTATAGATAGATTGGGGTGAAACCATGTAAAATGAGGATCATTTTTCCAATTTGGTTCAATCTAGATCACTTTGGAAAAGATATTTAACTCGGTTTGATCCAAGGACAAGCTTCTTCACACCTCCAAATAAGGGTTATCTTGTACCATGTTGAGTTAAACACTTAGCTTATTTTCTAGATCAAACACTAGGTTTATAAGCCCATAAACATGTCATATGCTACCACTAGATCATTTCAAACATACAAGCAATAGTGGTACCATACAAGCATCAAATTCATTTGATTTTCATGAGTGAGCTTAGGACATGATAGGAATGACTAGATGCACTAAACAAGTCCTTAGCAATGGATGGATGACATGTCAATCAACTTTACCTTGCTTTGCTCGAAAGAGAGGCATGTCATATAATGGGGGTGCATCAACACATATTGGAGAAGTCAAATATGTTCAATTCATTCCTTAGCTTGCAAAACCTCTTCTCATCAAGTGGCTTGGTGAAGATATCGACAAGTTGATCTTCGGTGCCCACACTCTCAATGCAAATGTCCCATTTTTGTTAGTGATCTCTTATGAAATGGTGGCGGACATCAATATGCTTTGTTCTTTAATGTTGAACCGGGTTGTTGGTGAGCTTTACGGCACTTTCATTGTCACATAGCAATGGCACTTGCTTGAATTTGATTCCAAAGTCACTCAAAGTAGCCTTCATCCAAAGTAATTGAGCACAACAACTACCGGCCGAGATATACTCCGCTTCGACGGTTGAAAGTGCTATACTATTTTGTTTCTTTGATGACCAAGACATAAGTGATCTTCCCAATAGTTGACATGTGTCCGATGTACTCTTTCTCTCAACTTTACATCCCGCATAATCGGAGTCCGAATATCCAATCAACTCAAATCTTGCTCCTTTGGGATACCACAATCCAACATTTTTGTGTATGCTTCAAGTATCTCAATATTCTCTTTGTTGTCTTCAAATGACTTTCTCTTGGTGAGGCTTAAAATCTAGCACACATACATACACTAAACATCACATCCGACCTTGATGCGGTCACATAGAGTAGGCTTCCAATCATAGACCGATACATCTTTTGATCCACCATGTTGCCACTAGCATCACTATCCAAGCTTCCACTTGTCCCTATTGGTGTACTAATAGCTTTAGCATCATCCATTCCAAACTTCTTGAGTATGTCCTTGATATACTCGCCTTGACTCACAAATGTGCCATTCTTTATTTACTTGATTTGAAGACCAAGGAAGTAGCTAAGCTCTCCAATCATGGACATTTCAAACTCACTAGCCATCATCTTCCCAAACTCCTCATAAAAATCTTGATTTGTTGACCCCAAAAATAATATCATCAACATCGATTTGCATTACAAACAAGTCATTTCCAAACTTCTTGGTGAAGAGAGTGGTGTCAACCTTTCCTATCTTGAATCCCTTAGAGAGTAGAAAATCCATCAATCTCTCATACTATGCTCTAGGTGCTTGTTTTAATCCATACAAAGCCTTTCTTAACTTGTAGACAAGGTTGGGTTTCTTCTCATCTTCAAAATCGGGAGGTTGCTCAACATACACAAGCTCATTGATGTACCCATTGAGAAATGCACTCTTCACATCCATTTAGTACAACTTGATGTTGTGGGCACAAGCATAGGCTAACAAGATCCTAATTGCTTCAAATCTTGCAACCGGGGCATATGTTTCTCTAAAGTCAAGACCTTCAACTTGAGTGTAACCTTGAGCCACTAATCTTGCTTTGTTCCTTATTACTATCCCATACTTGATCATTGATTGAACCAAGATACATCCTTATCTTTCTCTTCCAATAATCATAGCATTTGTCATCAAAGAACGGTGGTTTGCCCCCCACATGGTTGAACACAACTTGAGCCATAATTTGACACCGAGGTTGTTAAGCCTTCAATCAAACGGTGACCACGGCTCTGATACCACTTAAAAGGTCCTAATATGGCTAGAGGAGGTGAATAGCCTATTTAAAAATCTACAAACGGACTAGAGCAATTTGATTAATATAACAAATAGCGAAATGCAAACTTGCTCTAGCTCTACAAGGGTTGCAAGCCACCTATCCAACAATTCTAGTTCTTATGATCACTAGGCACATAATTTACTAGGTCACTACTCACTAAGAGCTCTCACAATTGCTACACTAAAGAGCGCTACTAAATGAACTTAATCCATAAAGCAAGCTCTCAATTCTAGCTACACTAAATAGCTTGTTATAGCTAGTTTGCGGATCCTCCTCCGCTGCTTCAAGCCGTCTAGGTGGTGCCAACCACCAAGAGAAACAAGTGAATCCCGCAGCGAAACACAAATACCAAGTGCCTCTAGATGCAATCACTGAAGCAATGCACTTGGATTCTCTCCCAATCTCACAATGATAATGGATCAATGATAGAGATGAGTGGGAGGGCTTTTGCTAAGCTCATAAGGTTGCTATGTCAATGCAAATGGCCAAGAGAGTGAGCTTGAGCCGGCCATGGGGCTTAAATAGAAGCCTCCATGAAATAGAGTCGTTGTACCCCTTCACTGGGCACAACACGGGGTGACCGAACGCTCCGGTCATATTGACCGGACGCTGGACCTCAGCGTCTGGTCGTACGATGCACGCCACGTGTCCCCTCTCTTCAAATACTGAGCTCCCGATCCCAACGGTCAAGTGATGACCAGACACGCTGCTGTGAAGTGATCGAACGCTGGACCTCAGCGTCCGGTCGTTTCCAGTAAGCAACCAGAAGCGAGAAATCACGACCGGACGCGTCCAGTCATGCTCGACTGGACACACCCAGCGTCCGGTCACACAACGTCATCATACGTCAGACTGACCGGACTCAGGCCCAGAGCGTCCGATCAGTTTTCGCGCCAGCGTCCGGTCATGAGACCGAAACAGCTCGCCCTCTGTTGCTACTGACCGGATGCTCCGGCCCAACCGAGACCAGCGTCCGGTCACTTATAGTGACCTCTGTCTTTTCTGTGTAGGGCACCGGTGGCACCGTCGGACTGTCCGCACTCTACGGGCGGACACTCCACCGGTGAAGTTTCTTACCCTTGCTCAAATGTGCCAACCACCAAGTGTATCACCTTGTGCACATGTGTGTTAGCATATTTTCACAAACATTTTCAAGAATGTTAGCACTCCACTAGATCCTAAATGCATATGCAATGAGTTAGAGCATGTAGTGGCACTTTGATAACCGCATTTCGATACGAGTTTCATCCCTCTTAATAGTACGGCTATCGATCCTAAATATGATCACACTCACTAAGTGTCTCGATCACTAAAACAAAATGACTCCTACTATTTATACCTTAGCGTTGAACCTTTTGTTTTTCTCTTTCTTCTTTTCCAAGTTCAAGCATTTGATCATCACCATCATCATGATCTTCACCATTGCTTCATCACTTGGAGTAGTGCTACCTATCTCATAATCACTTTGATAAACTAGGTTATCACTTAGGGTTTCATCAATTAACCAAAACCAAACTAGAGCTTTCACACGGCCATGCCGCTCTCCTGTCAGCAGCGAGCACGAGGCGACGAGTAGGTCGCGTCGCTTTGCAGGACCATGCCGCCTGTTGGCCGATGGCGAGTCCAGAGTTCCAGGCCATGGTGTGTGTCACGGGCGGGCGACAAGGCCAAGCGCTCTCCTCCAAAATCATATTTTAGATGTTGTTTAAATCCGGAGGCTAAAGTTTAGGGGTGTCACATCGGGTGTTACATGGGGGTGTCACATGTAGTAATAATAAAACAAATACACAAGTCCTCAGTAATCCGCGAGATGAATTTATTAAGCCTAATTAATCCATCATTAGTACATGTTTGCTGTAGCACCACATTGTCAAATCATGGACTAATTAGGCTTTAAAATTTCGTCTCGCAAATTAGTCGTAATCTATGCAATTAGTTATTTTTTTAGTCTATATTTAATACTCCATGTATGTGTCCATACATCTAATATGACAGAGACTAAATTTTAGAGGAGAAACTAAGCAAGGCACTCACAAGAGTTAAGATCTTGCATCATTCATCATCTCTATCAACCGAAGCTCGGACCCTGTATTGTTTTCTTTTACCCAGTGCAGATGCTCTTAGTATAATAACATATATTTTCTGCTCTCTAAAATAAGTATACATCTCATTTCATAGGACATCAAACTTTTTAAAGTTTGACCAAATATATATAAAAATATAGTAATATTTATGATGTGTACTATAAATATTATTAAATTACACATAAAATATATTTTTATAATAAATTTATTTAGATATACAAATAGATATTTTTTTTATATATCTAGTTAAACTTAAAAGTATCGAGCAGCGACGTGACGGTAGGACCGTGAATAGAAAACTGGCTGTCCGGCGGAACAGAGATAAAGGAACGGACAGGATGGGCTGCATGCCACTGGCTTGTTCAGATCGACGCACGCACCACTCCCAAGCCCAAAAACATTCGCAATCTCCTGGCATGGCGCCGCCGCTCGCCGCCGCCCTCCGCCCTCACCTCTCCCGCCTCGGCCAAACCCTCTCGTCCCGTCTCCTTCGCCTCTTCACCTCCCACTGTCCCTCCGACCAGAGCGATTTCGAACCAGACCCCGACCACCCCATCCCCTCCGCCCCTGACAATGACGACGGTGAGCTCGCCTCCTTCCTCCACCGCCTCTCCAGCGCGGCCTCCAGCACCTCAACCCGGAAGGAGGCCATCTCCCTCCTCCTTTCCTTATCCACGGGCCCGTCGCCGGCCTCCCCCGCTCTCCTATTCCGCGCGCTCTGGGAGCTGCGCCGCGACCCGGACGCTGCCGCGCTAGCTCTTCGGTACGGAGACGAGTGCAGCGCCGTGGATGGGGCCGATGGGTCGGGTCTACCGCCGCCGGCCGACGCGTGGCACCTGGCCGTGTGGGCCGCGGGTAAGGCGCGGCGGTTCGACCTCGCGTGGGCGGTCGTGCGGCGGATGCGGAACCGCGGTGTGCTCACTCGCCGCGCCATGGTTATCCTGATGGAGAGGTGCGATCTCGTGCAGGAATTCTGTCATCCTTTTTATTACAGAAAAGAAAGTATAAACTCGAATGTTGTGAGCTAAGTACTAGTTTCCTCTTATTTATGTGTTATTATGAGTTATGACCGGTGATTCAGTTCTCTAAACATGCTTTCAGTTGAGACGTGCAGTGATTCTAAAAAATCGTGAACACATTATTTTTTTTTAGAAGCACCAGCAGAAATTTATGCTCTGGGGTTAATATTAATCTTCGGTGGGCACACTGTTCCAACGAAATATTTTTGTTATTTACTTAATTTACTGATGCGGTTGCATTTTTTCACTGTTGTCATAAATTGAAGTTGAATTGTTGAGCTATAGGCATTCGTTGTAAAACTTCAAAAATGTGATCGATGTGCTCCTAGAAGATAACAAAACATGCAGCTTTTATGGGTCCTGTTCTCAGGATGTTGACTCTGTGCAGATTATAGTATAATCAGTTAGGAAGGATAGTATAACTTTCTGGATCAATTATTGGGGTTTACCTTAGCATCCTACTTTATTGAGCATTGTGTTGCTCGTCTTTAGCACTCATAATTCTGTAATTGAACTTCCAATGTACTTTTGAACTTTTGCGAGTTCTTTTTTCTGTCATGGTCTTTTCATTGTATGGATATGAAATTTCAGGTATGCAGCTGCCAATGAAGTAAATAAAGCAGTCAAAACATTTGATGTCATGGAGAAGTTTAAAGTCGAATCAGATCAAAGTGTATTCTACTCCCTTCTTCGTGCTCTTTGCAAAGGCAAAAACATAGAGGATGCTGAGGAGTTGCTTCTTCTGAGAAAGAAATTCTTCCCACTTACTGCAGAAGGTTTCAACATAATTCTAGATGGTTGGTGTAATGTAATCACTGATGTGGCTGAAGCAAAGAGAGTTTGGAGAGAAATGTCAAATCACTGCATTACTCCTGATGGCATGTCGTATACTCTTATGATCAGTTGTTTCTCAAAAGTTGGAAACCTTTTTGATACTCTAAGGGTTTATGATGAGATGAAAAAGAGGGGCTGGATTCCTGGTATTGGTGTTTACAATTCACTTGTCTATGTTCTGACAAGAGAAAATTGTGTGAAGGATGCACTCAATATATTCAGCAAACTTACAGATGAAGGCCTCCAGCCGGATGTTGAAACATATAACAATATGATAGTTCCACTCTGTGAAAGTTGTAAGCTTGATGAAGCGCGAATGGTGATGGAAACCATGGTACTTAAGGGCATCATTCCTACCATTTCGACTTACCATGCATTTTTGAAGCAAGAAGGCATTGACGAATCACTGAAGCTCTTGCAGAAAATGAAGGAGGATGGTTGTGGCCCTAAGAGTGATATATTTCTCATGCTTATTGATAAATTTTTCTTGCTAAACGAGTCTGGGAATGCTCTAAGAGTGTGGAATGAAATGAAAAAATATGAGATCAGCCCTGTCCGTTCACACTATATGACAGTGGTCGAAGGTTTAGTAAAACACGGATGGATACCAAGAGCTTTAGAGTACTACGACGAAATGAAGGAAAAAGGTTTTGCCTCTGATACACAACTTGATAAAGAATTTAAAACATTTTTGTTGAACAACAGAGACCACTGGAGAGGAGCAGGCAAATACAATATCATCCCCCAGCGTGGTAAACATTTTACAAAGCGGTCAAGAATGCAATAACAAATGTGGTTGCTTCTAGTGCCTTTTTGATATAAGGGACTTTTTCAACAAAGTTGAATATGGACCACAATGTGAGGTACAGTACATTAAGTTAACCTGTTTGTGAACCCTGACCAGCGGCAAAAAAAGAAAACTTGTGTGAATCTAATTGTAAAAAACATAATAAACGTGGCAGTTGCCTGTGTTTTCTGAAATGGTTACCTTTGAACTCAGTTGTTTGATACAATGGTCATGGGTCATTTGAGTCTATGTTCATTGGTAAAAATGTGTTAATCTTGATTGTCCTCCCACGACCAGTTATTTTGTATCTTGCCTACCTGCAGTTGCAGTCGGTAAATTTGTCTAACAATTGGGATCTGCGGAAGAGTTTTGAGGGAAAGCTTGGTTGTTTGGCTTACTACAAGCATTTGTATTGTTTCAAGCTGTCATTAGAATGGTGAACATTCTGATTTATTTACTTTTTTTAGAAACTTGCTCTCACTTACATGAACAACATTGCTACCAATTCTCTAAAAACAGCTGTATTAGGGTTAGTGCAAGGTCAAACACTCATAACGGGCCACCTTTCCTTTTACAAGTAATCAAAGCCGAGTAATTAACAATATTAATGGGTATGAGCATGACTGCCTGATTACTCAGGATACTCAGGCCAGTTTGCTTATAAGGAGGTATCTGGGTGGATATATGTTGCCTAAATATTTTAGTCTGTAGAGTGCCAACTCTGTTAATTTTTGAACCTGAGCCCTGAGTTGGTGGCAGCTGTATGCCCTTTGTGACAGTCTCTGTTGTTCTTGTGCTATTTTGATCCCGAGATCCCATTTCACTTATATTCATTTGAGTACTGAATTGAAGGAACAAATAGCTGTGCTATGTTCTAATTTGGTGCATTCTATCTTCTGTTCGTATCTAAACTTGTACGGGCATTCAAGGGTTTTAGCCTGTTTCAAAATAATTTGTTATGGGTGGCATTTGCAGACCTCTGGGCGAAGTGCTCAAGCATCCGTTTTGAATTTATTTTATTTAACATAGCTGGAAGAATAGAAAAAAAATTATGGCCGGGATCTTGCAGTTGTAAATTAGCCAAACTATATCATGTGCAGGAATATCCGATGACATCCTGAGCTACTACTGTACTATCACCAGAGATGCACCATAAAGCATTATGTCAGCACTAAGGCTTATTAGAACCATGCACTGCTCATTGAAACAGAGTCAGATTATTTGGCTTATCAATCTAAACAATATATTTTTCACATCAAACCAATAACAAAGATCTTTTCACCATGGCTTATAAGCTAAACAAGTACTTTCAACCATGGCTTATAAGCCAAATAAGCTAGGCCCTGTTCGTTTGAGCTTGTTTGGCTTATAAGTCATGGCTGAAAGTACCGTTGGCTGGTTTGGTGTGAGAAAAAAAATATTGTTCGTTGGCTGATAAGCCATGGCTTATAGGCCTACCTAGTCTCTATCTGAAGATTTCTGAACTAAAACGTGGATATCTGGTCATCAGGCTTTATTGAATAAGTCTTGAATTTGCAATTTTGCTTGCTATAGAAATACTGTGACAAAGTAAGTCTTCCCGAGCAATTGGTCAAATTCCAAATGTGAGTTTCCATATTCTATTTGAAAGTTTCCGAGACTGAATTGAAGCGTCGTTCTTAGAGCAACTCCAAAAGACTCTATATCATTTCTAATCGTTAGAAATAGAGATTTTGGTGAAAGAACACCCTCCAACAGTTTTAATTGGTTATCCAAATATAGTCATCATCTATTTTGAATTTCTCGTTAGCCAACGATGGATATATAAAAAAACTGTTGGAGTGAAAAGATACAGAGAATAATTTTTATATAAATGGCTCTTTAAATGATAATTTAGATAGTGGGTTTTAGAAAGACTCTCGGAGATGCTGTTATGGTAGTCGAAAAAAAAAGAAAAGGATTTGGCAAATGGACTAAAGAGGCCCGCCACGAGATAGAGGCCCATCCAGCAATAGCCTGCCGTCGAGTCCAACCCTGACCTAATCCAATCATCAGGCAGGCAATCGCGAATCTTTATATTTTAATTAATTATTAAATTTGTTTATATCGCAAAAAAAAATTCCCAAGCAAAAAATGCATTGCGGCTGCTCCTTTCTATAATCCTCAGGTGCGCCTGACCGTTGGACCCCGTTCTTCTTCTTCTGAAAACCTTTGTATAATCCTCAGGTGCCTGACCGTTGGACCCCCTTTCTTCTTCTAAAAAGACGACAAAGGCAACGGTAAAGTCCAAAACAGAAGAAGGTCCCAGTTCGACCCCAACGGCTACTTCGACACACCCCTCGTCGCCGCTGCCTACATAAACGCACCCCGTCGCCACGATTCGCACAGCACTCTGCCTGCCTGCCTGCCTGCCTGACTCACGAGCTCCATCACACTCGTCCGTGACATCTCCGGCGCGCGTCTGGTCATGTGTCGTCTGCCTGCTGTGCTCAGTCAAGCTCGTCTTACTCCAATGGCGTCGAGGGTGCTGCTCCTCTGCGTTTCGGTGGTCCTCGCTGCGGCGGCTGCTGCCGAGGCCAGGGACTTCGTTGTCGGCGGCGCCAACGACGCGTGGAAGGAGCCGGCGCAGCCCGACGCCCTCGCCAAGTGGGCCTCCGCCAACCGCTTCCAAGTCGGCGACAAACTCGGTAAGAGATCCCTCGACGCCCTCGCTACATCTTCGTCGTTGTTTCCAGTTCAGCGATCTGGTCGAAGGATCGAAGACATTTTGCTGCACAAGCGAAAGATTCTTCATTTCTACCCTGTTGCTTCAACTCATCTGCTTCCCATGCGTGCAGTGTTCAAGTTCGACGGTGCGGCGGACTCGGTGCTGGAGGTGACCCGGGACGACTACAACCGCTGCAGCACGGCGTCCCCGCTCGCCGTCCACAAGGCCACCGCCGGCGCCGCCACCGTGCCGCTGCCCCGCTCCGGCCCGTACTACTTCATCGGCGGCGCCCCAGGGAGCTGCCAGAAGGGCGAGCGCCTCCTCCTCGTCGTCATATCCGAGAAGCACGGCCGCGGCCGCCTGCGGGGCCTCGCTCCGGCGCCGGTCCCGGCTGCTGAGTCGCCGTTTGCCTCCAGTTTCGTCGGGGGCCCTGCCGCGGCGCCGGCGCCGGCCACCGGGGCCGCGGGGAGGACGGCGGCTGCCGGGAACACCGGCGCTCTGCTTGTCGGCGCCGTCGCGCTTCTTGGGGCTCTGTTGTTCGGGTGCTAGTCAAATGTGGCAGCGTTTTTCGGAGATACTTTGATTCGTCCTGCTTGCTGTTAAGCTCAAAGAGAGAGAGAGAGAGAAGCAATCTGCTGCTGCTTCTGTCTGTAGAAGACGATATGATAGTTTCTGTCAGAGATGATAAATCATAAAAGGATAATTCATCGATCATGATGTGGTTTTTACATCAACATTCCATTCTCGTGTCTTGTGTCAATATAAACGCCTTCGAAATCTCGTCTTCCTCTCCCGCCGATCCAGCGATCCTGCAATGTTTGCTAATACGTTCCAGACAAACAACGGCGAATAAATAGACTGTAGATGTTATCGAAATCCTAGCAATATGAAATTAGTAATTTCCTCGCCAACCGACAACCGACAACCGCCAAGCCGAGGCTCAACACCAAGCTCAACGTTCTTTACAAGACCGCCTGTTGTTCAGTTGTTCTTTTATCAGATCAGACCAAGCTTGTGCTGTGCATCTAGCCATCTTTTTTTTTTTTTTGACAAAACATCTATGCTGTTTTAACGTGCCTGAAACTGTGAAACAGGATCAGCAACCACAGTCCGCAGGTTGTGTGGCACCAGCAGCACCCCTAACAAAAAATTGTGCAATCTTCAACTCTGTTTCTGCTTTAACAATATACGACCCATGCCAAACGGCCTACTATATGTTGTTAGAAAAATGCTAGATGTTGAAGAAAAATGCTAATGTTGTTAGAAATTTGCTGGGGGCAGCTAACAATGTGATATTCAATTAACTTACCTAGATTTAATACCGATTTTATATTTTAGTACCCTGCAATAGGCTCTCAGCTGATGATCCTTCGGTAAATTACTACTTTCTTCCAGGCTCATCGAACTTATGCTCACCTTGATTTCACTCCATAGTTTCAGTGCACTGTATTCTTTCTGCTTTTGTACCTCTATTATTTTTTATTTCTTTTGTTTTGTCTGCTACTTTGGCTCCCTGTATACTTTCATCTTTATTCCTTGTTAATACAGTGATGATGCGTAGTTTTCCAACCTGTTCGAGAAAAGGAGGTATCTTTGTGCTGTGTAAAGACCATACTAACATGATGTTTGGTTCAGTGGTTTATTGGCGTGATCGGATAACACAGTGAATCAATCTCGTTAGTTTTTGTTTGTTGATATGTGATGTAATCTCGTGCCGGGCAACGGATCCGAACCTTTTCAAAAATCTGCGCCCTGTTCGTTTGGGTTCGTTTGGTTTATAAGCCATGACTGAAAGTACTGCTCGGCCTGTTCGTTTGGTCGTAAATGATCGTAAATTTTCAGCCAGAATAATATTTTTCTCTCACATCAAACCAGCCAGCAGTAATAATCCATGATCATTTACGATCGTTTCAGCCCCAGCCGAACAGACTGATTGGCTGGTTTGGTGTGAGAGAAAAATACTATTCATTAGCTAATAAACCATGACTTATAAACCAAATACGACCAAACAAACAGGCTGCTGATTGCTCTCGATCGTGGTGGCACGTAGCTGCTTAACCAAACAGAACAAGTAACGGATCCCTTCCTGTTACTGCGCATAACTTTCTTCGCCTTACCCTTGCTCTTCTTGAAACCAAACAACACCTAGATTGTGACAGGTGCTAAGCATCGACAGCAAGTAGAAAAATGAACAGCTGATTTTTGTAGTTGATGAAGCTGACCATGGTTTGCGAAGTGATGTTGATGTATAATTAAGTAAACATTTATTTAGCAATTTAAGAACACATGTTGTTTCTGTAATTGGCCCACTAGATACAATACCCGGTGAATCCCAAAAACTAAAAGTAAGTAGCATGCACCAGCTTCTTAGCTTTGATTTATTTATAAAATGACATAATTTGTAAATATGAATCCTTCAGTAATGGATAAACTTCTACTCTCAGTTTTGGAGTTCATGTTCATACGTGGACTATGGCATTTTCTCCACTTCCATGTCCCTCAAAAACTTTGCGAATGCCGCTTCAGAAGACCCGCCTTCGTGGATGGCCTCACTGGCCTTCTCCTTGACGACGGCGAGCCTCACCCTCAGCATCTTCCCTTGGTCGGTGTCCATCACAAGCCTCACCTTGGCTTCCACCTCCTCTGCCTTGACGAACTCCTCGTATCCCTCCATCTCGACCGCGATCTTCATCTCCTCCACCATGAACACCTTATTCATGCGCTGCTCGGCGTACAGCGGCCAGCAGATCATCGGCAATCCGGACATGATGGCCTCTAGCGTGGAGTTCCACCCGCAGTGCGTCACGAACGCGGCGACCGCCTCGTGCTGCACCACCTCTGACTGTGGCGCCCAGTTCTTCACCACCATGCCCCTGTTCCTCGTCCTCTCCAAGAACCCCGCTGGAAGCAGCCGCTCCAAGTCCGGCTCGGGGAACTGGCTCTGTTCCTCCGGTGGTCTCCTCACTGCCCATAGGAACCGGTGGCCGGAGCTCTCTAGACCGTGGGCTATCTCCTGCAGCTGTGCCGCCGCGAAGGCGCCCTTGCTACCGAAGCAGAGGAACACGACGCTCTGCCTGGGCTGTGCGTCCAGCCACGCCAGGCACTCATGCCTCTCGCCGCCCCTCTCTGCAGTCTTGTGGCCGTCGTTGACCAGTGGCCCGATGCAGTAGACTCTCGGCGTTGGCCGGCCGGGCACGCAGACGCCGTCGTCAAGCGCTCTCAGGGCCCAGGGCTGCAGCCAATCGAAGCTGTTGACCAGCACGCCCCTCCCCTCCGCCATGCGCTTGAACTGGTAGAGCCGGACCTTGGTCGCGTCGCTCTCCTTGTCGTGGATCATCGGCAACATGTCCACGGCACGGATGGGCGGCATGCCCGAGAAGCAGCGCACGAGCCTAGTCTTGCCCATCTCCCTGAACGACGGCACGGTGGGGTAGTAGTAGGGAAGGTTGAGGAACACGGCGAGGTTGCTGGCCGCGGAGGGGAAGAAGAAGTAGGCGGGGACGGCGAGCTCTGCCGCGACGTCGAGCGCGTCGACGCAGAACATGTCGAGCAGCAGCGCGTCGGCGGCAGGCGTCGAGCGGAGTAGGTCCCGGAGTGCTGGGTTGGCGAGCCGGAGCGTGTCGAGGTTGCGCTTCACCGGGTGCGCCCCGTGGTCGGTGCTGGCCGGGACCGGCAGTAAGCGGAACGCGATGGCCGGGTTGGCGGCCGCGAGGCGGGCGACCGCGGCGGCAGACACGGCGTCGGTATCTGGAGCGTCGACGACGGCGATGATAACGCCGAGGCCGTGGCGCAGGAGGGTCTTGGCAAGCTCCACCATGGGGTTGAGGTGGCCCACGCCCAGCGATGGGTACAGCACGAGCGTCTTCTTCCCCATGGCTCGTGATCGCTCCTGGTGTTCGAGCCTTCGGAGCTGCAACTTGACGAGTCAATACTTATTAGAGGCGGCGGCTAGCTTTTGGGTCCATGATAGTAGTTGTTGGCTAGCACTTTGCGTCGACGAAAAGAAGGAAAAAGAAATCGAGCCTTGGGAGAGAAGTTCACCCTGGAATTGAGTACCTCATGCTAGTCAATCTTTCGGCGCTTATTCTACACTCCGATTGTTTTTTTATATAGACCACTCCGATTGGTTCTTAACCCTTTTTCATGGTGGCATGGTTGCAGTGGCGAAGATACGCTTTGTGTTTTCCTCTTTACTCGTCCTCGTCTCCTCGATGGACTGAGTCATGGCTGACGTTATTCACAGGTCGTCATTTCTGTCGCTGATTGGTCAGAGACCAACGCTATGAGCGTGATTGGTTGCTGAGGGGTAGGCGAGTCGGGCTAATGGGAGGCAGGATGGAGTGTGCACTTCTGTTTGTTTGGTTGCAAGATACAGGATGAGAGCCGGTTTGTTTGGTTTGCTCAATCTATATGAGTTTGATGCATTAGCTCAAGTTTGGTTTGTTGGTGTGGGTGGAGTTGCTGCTACCTCCTGCACGAATTGGTGAGGTTACCTCGTGAGTGGGAGACAGTAGAGAAGAGAGGGAAGCGGACCGGAAGAGGCGACAACAATGGTAATGCCCACACGCACGGTAACCTTATCCTCGCGCCTCATCTGGGAGGATGGCGTCGTCTCCCGCGTGGGCCACGCGCCATACCATGCCATCCCGGCTCGCATGCGAAGGCTGAATTCTGCGTATGCTGCGAGCCTGGACCAAGGGCCTCAAATGCACTATCCGATGCATCGATTTCGTTCGGCACATGGAACCAAACAAACCGTCCCTGCACGGCGTCGAGCGGGATGATGCAGCGGATCGCGAGAGGAGGCCAACCAATCACGCCCTATATGATGACCCGTTAGTGCACCTAGGATCGGATGCCATACGGAGGATAGGAACAAGAGAATGTTCCTCGGTTCCAAAAAAAGTAATTTTAGATTTTAGAAAAGTTATTATTTTTTAAGTTTTCACAAGAAATGTTAACAAGGGAAGTTTGGAGGTTGAAGACAAGGGTAGTTTGGACATTTCTCCCATCCTCACTCTCCACGAATATGAGAAATGAATAAAATATTGGCTGCGGTGTGTTACGGTAAAGAACCCCAAATTTGTAATGATACTGAACAAATGCCGCTCGTTGCGGTGTCAGTCAGAATATTCTATAATCAATCTAACTATACTTATTTTGTATCATAAATGTTTATAATCTTTTTGCATAGATTTGGATTTAAAAATGTTTCTCATCGAAAAGTGAGAACTATATTGTTTTTAGGACGAGAGAGTAGATGTCATTCATCCATCCGAAGAAATGGCTATATTCTTTTTAGGACGGAGAGATTAGATGTCATTCATCTGGCCGCGCGTGTTAAGAGGGAACGTTTTTAGTCATCGTTTACCCGGTTGTTGGTGTGTTGGGTCGATGAGGACGTCGGGCCCTTTGAGGGGGGTTGTATGTGACATCCGAGCCAGTTTGGAATTTGGCCCGTAGCGACCCATGTGCACATAATGAGATATTGTGAAGGGTTTAGTCCTATCTTGATTGTTAAAGATGAGTTAGACCAACAATAAGGCTACTAGAGTCTATCCCATCATCCCCGGATTAATCTTTTCATACGAAACGAGAACGAAAGCTTGAGTGGAATGGTGGTAGCTAGGTGTGGTTCACTCTGGAAATATAATGTGAGAAGCGTTATTGTAGGTAGTTCTTATGCTCAAGTAGATTATTTTTGCAATTGCACAGATTAGTGCGTAGTAGCACTAGCACTTCATCTGTCGTAGATTATTTTTGCAATTACACAGAATTAGTGCGTAGTAGCATTTCATCTGATTCGTATTTTTATTCTCAAAGAAACATGGTTAAGATTATTGAGACATGATTTTGAATGTATCTCAATCAACAGCCAAAGTCTAGCAAGGGTTATATAAAAAAGATTAGGAGGCAGAGAAAGATCAGGTGCTAATGCACAAAGTTAAAAACCATCCGTCAAGTTAAATGTCCCTAAACCAAAAACTTTATGTCGAAACTGGTGTGACTGTTCCTAAAATATCTCAAAACTTTATGCTAGCTTAAGCGTCAAATGGCATTTTATACTAGCAAACATACTCAAAGTAGCCGTTAGATATTTAGATGACCTCTAAATGAATACTGGTAGAAAGCAAGCAACAATCTAAATCCATGAATGGATGGAATACCAATAAGGCAATAACGTGTCCTTAATTACTCTCATACTAGTGCAGGGGTGCGCCATCGCGCGCATATGCGTACACGAGAGGGACAATAGCTTGTAAAACGAGGGAACAGGTTCATCAATAACGTAATATACAAAGGGACAATAGCATGTAAGAGGTACTAAAGAGTCCGGCGTGCCTGTCCCCAGGAACCGGTTGCTAATAGCAAGTTTTGCAGCCGTTCCGAAACAGGGCTGTCCATGTCACAAAATGATGAAGCCGTTATGTTGTTTTGTACCTATAGCATTATAAAGGTGGTTAGTACATATGGAGCATAGAATGAAGGTGCTAAATTTGTGAGGACAGTAGGACATCTGAAGCTTCATAAAGAGGGTTACTGGAATTGTTGAAACAACTATCTAGGTGTGCAGTGCCATACATGACGACGACTTTCTATTTACGTGCTGCATCATGTATGTCACCCTTTCTAATGAAACTATGAAGTAGCAGGGAGGTTACTGGAAAATCCATCTGATAGACATCTAGCGATCGCAAGGTCAACTCTTTGCGTTGGACTACCTGTCTTGAGTTCATTCTTTAAAAAATGTAGGGACTTAAATTAGGCTAAGAAATGTATTTTACAAATTTTAAGCACTAAATTATTTCTAATACGTGGAGACGACTGTACTAAAGTTGAGCCATGTAAAGGCACGATAATGTTGAGTTATATTGCTACGTACTTTACAAATTTTGAGCATTGAATTATTTCTAATGCATGGAGAGGACTGTATTAAAGTTGAGCTATGTAAAGTCGCGACAATGTTAGTCCTCTTGTCAAAACCAATGATGCAAATGTTCAAATGGAACATGGAGGTATATGTAAACTGAGACACTCCATGGGATTGAGCGAAGAAAAACCTGTAGAATTAGATAACTAACCTTTATACGATCGAATAAACCCGGACAATTGACTTGTACACTGTGTGGCAAATAGGTTGGCAGTAGTAGCGGCAGACGACATGGTTTTTGCATAGCTGGAATTGGAACCATATGTAACAACCTGCAGGAACCGAAAGCAAATGGGAAGGCTATCTATTATGAGCAGAGGATTCATAAATTGTTCTAAATCAATCAACCGTAGCACATGCGATGGACATAGGCCATGGGTAGGCCTATGGGTGTCATAATAAACTGGAAGCATCCATCCACAGAAGAAGGGTTCTTGTGTGGCAAAAAAAAACAGAATTTGGCTTGGAAGCAAAATAAAAATGCTATATGTAAATAATGGAAGGCAAGATAGGGTGCTGTACACTTAACATCTAGTTGTCCAGCAGGCTATAGTGGATCACAAAAATGGGACAATTTCCTACAAACTCAGATAATTCTTTGTGTAATGAATCAACATTTTAATAAGAAAAATGGTCCACAACATGTAGCAAAGAAAGCCACTACCTGCAGCACAATTAATAATAGTGCCTTTTTTACTCACTGTGCTGTGGCCATTCATAACTGGACATCTAAGAAAATGATTTATGAGTAAAGATATCACCTATATCTTGATAGACACCACAACTTTGTGACAAGAAATTACACATTTGTCGTCCAGAATAGGTTTTAGAATTATTGCTGGTTTACATAACACTGGCGTCAAAAAGAACATGGCAGTTTTGCTTCAAGGAGTAAAGGTTACTCACGTTCCAACATGCTGGAGAGGCTGTCTGTCATCAACAATTCATTGAAGCTTGTGAGGTCGAAAAGGCAACTTATTCAATAACTCTTCTCCATTTGGTCTTCTTGATTCAGCAATACCAGCAAGAAAGAAAGTTCCTCCCAATGTTCAGTAGCCTCCATGCTTGTCCGACATTCTACAAATTTGAAGGAAAATTCATAAGTTCCCCAAATAGGCATCAATCAAATTGATGGCACTCGCAATGGAATGGCAACTGCTTTCAGTAATCAAATGTAGTTTCCATCATCTGGTAAACTCTAGATCATGACTTACTCTTTGAATTGAATCCAATGACGTAACACCAGCAACCTTGAGGCTATTGTTGATATTGTCTGGTGGCTTTCTAACCTGACAAATACCTTTTACATCACTACTAAACCATAGGCAGATCAAACGTGGCGACAATCAGTGTTCGCCTAAACGGATTAAACGACCGTTTAAATGGCCAGTAAACGGTAAACGATGGTAAACTGTTTTGTTTAGGGGGGTAAACGAAAATTAAACGGTTGACCGTTTAAACGGTCAAAAAACGGGAAAAAATGGTCTAAACAACGAAATGGAGATAAACAGCATTAGCAAATGATCCGACTGTGTCGAGCCTATCAAAACCGTCATGTGGGCACATCAACCGCTGGTGTAGTGGCCACCAGCACCGTCGCCTTGTACTTCGACCCAACTGTTAGCGGTGCGGGTTCGCTATCGGTTCGACGGTCGAGACACCTGTGTAGAGGTTAGCACCACCGTCGCTTCAGCGTGTGATCGGCCAGTACAAAGGTCATGGTCACCGTCGCCTTGTACCACGATCCGCCTTTGATGATCGTTTAGTCGGTGTCGGGTTACTAAACGATTTGGCGGTGATACACTTTTATCCTGCCGCATAACACGTATAGCGACGGTGTTGGACGTTTGCACCACCAACGGCGGTGGTGATAACAAAACAAAAAACGACTCTTAATAGCGCACTGAACACAAAGCATACATATATAATCATTGCATCCATAA